AAAAAAAAAAAAAAAAAGACTCTCCATGTGCTTATCGTGGCCAAGTGTCATTAGTAGGCTAGACTCCTCATACCACACGACATATACATGCTTCTCTTATCTCACCAGAATGAAAAGGTAAATCCCACTGCATTAAAAAAAAAGAAAAGAAAAGAAAAGCACAGACACACACCTGAAGTCATTAAAGTCCAAGGCTGTCATTGTTTCCAGAACAGAAAACTGTTGTACCAATAGTTTAAGGATCACTGCCACTCTGTGCATCCGAGTAACAACCTTGAGCATATTCCTTTCATCCCTGACCTGGTGGTTAAGAAATGAAACACGGAGTAATCAATTATGATTTACAGAAGATGCAAAATAAACTGTAACTAACAACGCATTCTGTTCATTTTATCTCCATCTTTTATTACATTTTATTGTTTTTGCAGAAAGTTTACACAGCAAATTAGGTTCCCATTTAACAATTTCCACACATATTGTTCACCGACATTGGTTACATGTTTCACAATGTGTCAACAGTCTCATTCTTCCATTCTGGTTATCTCTATTTTAAAGAGGAACATTGGAACGAAGTATGTGTTGAACCAACAGCAACTCTGAGGTGTGTGCAAGAAATGTCTGCAAATGAGAACAATTTTTCTTTCTTTAAAAATAGAAAACTATGTGGAAGCAAGTTAAAAGTAAATTCTGGAACACAACTCTCACTGATTTCAAAACAAGCTTCTCTCTTTGTTTTGCTTCACAAAATACCGGTCAAAGTAACATGTGAAGTACTGGGTTAGGATTAAGCAACACCTGGATTAATCTGCACTTTAGGGACAAAGTTGCCACTGATGTAATGGGAATTGTATTTACACACATAGGGGGAGTATTGTCTGTGTGTGTTTCCTCTTTCCCAAACTCTCTTGGAGCAGGGCTCAGAAGTAGAGGGCTTAGGGTGGAGCCTGAAAGGGTATGGGAGGAGGAGGCAGGATGCAAGGAGAGAGGGTGCAGTTCCAACTTCTGCAATTGCCTGGTCTCTGCTCTGCTCTCCTACCACTCTTGGTCCTCCTGGTTCTCCTTGCTTCTTTTATCCTTCCTCACTCCCCTTCTTATATTTTTCTTCCTCCTGCTACTCTTTCTCCATCTCCTCTTTTTTTTATTTCTGACTTTCCTCATTATGGGTCCTATCTTCCCACAGTTAAGACCCATACTAATATTCATTAGAAACACAGTTCTGGTATCTAGCAATTAAATGACTGCTATTAGCTAGCTGGAATGTAATTGTCATTTATAACAATATTTTTAGGGGAAAAGAAAATGTGAGTCCTGAACAAGGGGCTTGAAACTGAGATTTGAAAGAAGCCTTAGAGCACGGAGCAGGTCCAGGGCGGCAGTGGCTCTGGGGAAACCTGTCTAAACTCTTTGTCCTCTCAGAAAGGTGACTTTTATTATTAAGTAATAACCCCACAGTTGGTGTTACATTTTGTTCATTGCTAAATACTTTTTACAGTCTTCAAAAAATCTATGAAACCCATACTGGGACATAATAACTTACATGGCCATTCTGAAAGATCTCTCTAACAGAATCTAATTCCCAGAGGATTTGCTTAAACCAGAGTTCATAAGCTGTAATGAAAGAAACCAGAGTTATGGAGAGCTCTTTGATTGTAATTATAAGAGTAACATGAGTAACACATTAAAACAGAAATGAAAATGAAGATTTAAAATCAACAAAGACCAATCCAGCCCTATGTTATGCTAGAAATAAATATTAATAATACATTTATAATACCTTCCTTCTGTTGAATCTTTTAGTATGTCAGCCACGTTATCTAGACGTCTTACGTTCATGATTGTTACATTTATTCCTCTCAACATACCTCTACTTTAGGTCTTTTAAGGATATAACACATGACTCAGTTCTAACTTCTCATATGCAAACTAGAGGTATGTGGGAAAGCAGAAGTGATACTCAACTCCACCTATAGACTGAGAAATGAATATTCACCAAACTAAGTGAAAGACTGTGGTGGTTTAAGACCTTGGAAATTTTAAAGCTGTTATTTAAAATGCAGTGTTTTGTTTCGTTTATTTGTGAAAATCTTAGCAATGTATAGACACAGAACAGTCAGGAAAGTGGGCAGATGTCTGTGATAAATCAATAGTGACAAGAGCCTCATGTTACTCTCATGGCTAATTCCTAGGGGCAACTTTATGGCAATTGATCCGGCATTATCCAGTATCTGAGTTTAAAAGGCTATTTGTTTAAACCTGAATCTTGCCAAAGCACTTCTGTTGAAGGATTTAGGCAAGCAAGGACTTTTGCTTTGAGTTTGTTTTCCCCTTCCTTATAGGTCATCTAAATCATAAAACTGGCATTAAAGAAGGGTGATACAGCATAGTATATTGGAAGAAGCATAGTTGGATCCGTTCATCTGACATTGCTAACAA